GGAGGGGGAGGAGGAGGAGGAGGAGGGGGAGGAGGAGGAGAAAAGATACTGAAGGCTCAGTAAGGTTCAGTTTTTTCCCCATAACTTTTAACAAAATGGGAGTCTCTCCTAGAATGTTAACATCTGCTGGATGTTATTAAATATCAATTTTCTAGCAACTGAACCATTGGACATTCTTGCCTAAGTGAAACAAACTCTACTTGTGCTTCTCCATGGGTACAGAGCTTTAATTAAAGGCATGTGATTAAATATTTTTCGGTTAACTTAGAAAAGAGAGCCACAAGATAGACAGACAGTGGATTAACTGAATTTTTTTTAACTCTTGATCTTTCTGCATTTATTTTCAAGTTCATTTGTCATTTAATTTGTTGTCACAAAGATTTTAGATATTCCAGATTTCACATTAAATTTAAAATTAAACTAGCAATTTGCGGTTTATTCTCTGCCCTCCACCCTTTCAGGCAACAGTCAGGCAAGGCACTAACATGTTTCAGAAATTTGTTTAACAGAAAAAACAGTAATTTGTGCTGTCATCTCCTATGTGAAACAAACACCCCTGTGTCTGTCCTCTCTAGGAAGGGTGGAGGTGACCTCCTCCCTTAGAAGCCTCCTCCGTACTGAGGGGTGGGGGAGGTTACCCAGGATGCACCTCTTTCAAACATCTTTAAAAGCCTAGTTTAAAAGCCTAGTTCTTCAAGTTTGTGGACTATTTAACTGAGGCACGTAAAATGTGACTGTGAGCTGGGTGCAATGGCTCTCGCCTATAATCCCAACACTTTGGGAGGCTGAGGTGCGAGGATCATTTGAGCCCAGGAGTTTGTGACCAGCCTGGGCAACACGGCAAAACCTCAGCCCTATAAAAAATACAAAAATTAGCCGAGCATGGTGGCACGTGCCTGTAGTCCCACCTACCAGGGAGGCTGAGGTGGGAGAATCACCTGAGTCAGGAGAGAGAGGCTGTAGTGAGATATGATCATGTCAGTGTACTCCAGCCTGGGTGAAAGAGTTAGACTCCATCTCAAAAAAAAAAAAAAAGTGAATTCACTCAGGCCAAATGAATGCCACCTGGTGAAATCCAGATTCTCTGACTCTTCCTTCAACACCTATTTGCTTTCCTGCTGAAGAGGTCCCCCAGGATTTGATCACAGATGGGTTGTCACAGTATCAGAGAACCCAAGCAACATTAGCATTCTAAGTATCAGAGCAATGACCATTGTTTGAGGGCCCACTGTGAGCCCCAAGCTTACTGTGTTATCCGATTCAGCATGAGTGGATCACCGTCTTAGAAATAGGATTGTCCAGGCTGACTGTGGTGGCTCATACCTGTAACCCCAGTACTTTGGGAGGCCGAGGAGGGTGGATCACTTGAGGCCAGGAGTTTGAGACCAGCCTGGCCAATATGGTGAAACCCTGTCTCTACTAAAAATACAAAAATTAGGCTGGCATGGTGGCAGGTTTCTGTAATCCCAGAATCCTACTCGGGAGGATGAGGCAAGAGAATCGCCTGACCCCAGGAGGCAGAGGCTGCAGTGAGCCGAGATCACACCATTGCACTCCAGCCTGGGTGACAGAGTGATACTGTCTGAGAAAATTTAAAAAAATAAAAAGAAAGAAAAAGAGAGAGAGAGGGAAGGAAGGGAGGAAGGGAGGGAGGGAAGACTGTCCAGTAAAATCAGGTATTTTTGTCCTGCCCAGGCAGTTCTGCCTTTACAGATCAGAGAAAGAAAGGAGAGGAGTTGGTCTACATCCACTTTCTCCTTTTGGGAAGAAAGTGACCCTCTGGCCGGGTGTGGTGGCTCATGCCTGTAATCCCAGTACTTTGGGAGGCCGAGGTGGGCGGATCACAAGGTCAGGAGTTTGAGACAAGCCTGGCCAACATAGTGAAACCCCATCTCTAC